GACTTTAGTTAAACTTCCACTGCTAGTCAGGAAGTCTTTGATAGCTATTTCATTCATGTGTGGGTTTTTCCAACAGTACACACTGATGGTTATATCTAAGATAGAACCTTGGATTTTAAGGTTTCATGAAGTGAATTTCGTTTTTAGACCAGTGAGACGACATTCACTGGTCTACATGTCTAAATTTAATTCTTTGATGTATCACCCCTGATATATCGTTAACTACCAGTAATTATGGTCTCTTACTAGAACTATTGAAATCTCTTCGAAAATTCCGTCAATAATAGGCATATGATTATCAAAACAATAGGAGGGGTTTATGATTTTTGTTTAAATACAAATGTTTACATCACAGACTGATCTTATATAGTCATTCATGACTCCGATATGAGGATGAAACGGCTTTCCAGTACTTCATGGTTTTCATTAGCTGTTTAAGTGTAGTCCGTGATGTAAACTATGGAATTTCAATAATCTACACAGACTTACGACACTCATGAGTTTTATTCATTTATCACCAACAATCATTTGGATTGTTTTTACCAATCAACTTCCCTATTTATTTAGGTGTTATGAAGGTTCACTTAACTTGATTAGTTTATGAAAACGGTTAAAATGAACGAGCTGAGAATTCAGTCATAAAATCAAGGTTTGAATACCTACCTACCGAATACATTACAAATCAAAGAACACCTGATCAAATAACTGAATGTGTTATATTTTATGGAATTTTAAGCTGTTGTTTATGCATGCCCAGTTCTCAGCGCTCGCGAGACTGATAAGTCCTGGGTTCGAATCTCGCAAGGCGGGATCATGGGTGTGCACTGCTGAGGAGTCCCATAATGAGATGAAACAGCCGTTCAGAGCTTTCACATTTTCCATGGTGGTCTAGCTTTAATTGACTCATGAATTCAACTATAAAATCCCTTAAATCTCTACAAAACCCCTATCTGATATTATTAAGATTTATCAAATCAAACTTCAGTTATGATACTTTCAATCTAAATGGTATAACTGAGTTATATATGTGATAATATACGATTAACGAAAGTCAGAAAATAATCTGTTATATTGAAATATCATCTGAAGACAAAATTATACAAGCAATAAGAAAGAAGAATCAATAAACCTTATTAATTAAACATTACATAATAGGTAGTTTAATAGGTAGTATATTTAACAAAACTTAGGTTACTATAAATGAACTCCTTTGTTCACCAGTATAAAAATATTGATTTTTCAAATAGATCACTTTAAGATCATTAAAATTAATTTTAAATGAACTAATTAAGATTTTGATTTTCTATAGTTGAAATCATGAGTCAATTGAAGCTAGACCATCAAGGAAAACCTGGAAGCATTGGACAGTCGTTTCGTCCTATTGTGGGACTCCTGGGTTCGAATCTCACGAAGCGGGATCGTAGATGCGCACTGCTGGAAAATCCCACAATAGGACGAAACGGACTTCCAGTGCTTCCATGGTTGTCTAGCTTTAATTGACTAATGATCTTACCTATATAAAATTACTAAAATCTCCACAAAACCCCCCTTGTGATAATGATATGTATATTTCCTATTGTATAATTGTTAAGTAACTAAATTATTCATATTCGTGTCTTTCTTATTATAGGCTTTACTTTGACCTATAGACTGTTATTATACGATTACCATTCTTGAGTTATCCCTAGTCCATTAATTGCTATTCCTCCTATTCACGGTCACATTTGGCCAAATCTTGTACAAATGTTATTTTCTATTTTATGATCGATGTGGTCAGTTTGTTTGGTATATAAACCCAATATTTTAGTGTTCTGGACTTAACTGGCTGGGCTAGGCAGAAAGCGGAACTGACAAATGCTCAAGACTACTCATGCGGATTTTGTGTCATTAATCTGATCGATAAATCCACTGCTCTCCGATTGGCGGTTTTATCAACGTCATATGTATAAAACAGGGCACGTGCGTATACTCACTCGATATAACAAAGTCAAACTTTGGTATCATCATTTAATAATAGTATTGAAGTTATTTAAAACGAAGTACACTAAATAGGGTTTGAAAATATGATTAAGCGGTAGAAATGTAATTGATTAATCTACAAAGGAGTAACTAAGAATCAGTCGGCAAATAGAAAAATGTCATAAGTTGAGTATCATTTCTATTATCAACATGGATACAAAGTACTGTAAGCTGACTTTAACTGTTGGCCACGCCCATGGGTTAGATAAAGTTGAGGCATCATTAACATATATCGTTAGATTTAACTAAGTTCGGATAATTCGTAGTAGTAATCGTCCAGTCCATAGCTAAAGTATACAGAACATTGAACCACCACTATGAATCTCAGCTTTCTTCTCAATTATATTTTGTATTTTAAATTCGATAGTTTATAAAGAAATTAGTTTGAGAAATAGTTGTTCAAAATGTCATTACTGTAATTATGTCCTTTGTGTTATGATGGGCAGGACTGAAATATCATTAGTGCTTTCTCATTGATCTTCAGTTTTGTGTATGAACAATCATTTTTTATATGTAAAGTCAAATTACTTTAATTCTTCAATACTAATATATACATGAGATGACCAAACTAAGACAGACAGTATCAATCCATGAATTTATTAATTTTTGAACTAAGCCGTATTAATACAAGCAGACAATCATGTTTGACCCCAAATGCCCTAGTACGGCCGAGAGTGAGGAGAGTCTGACCTCCCTCTCGAATTGCTCTCACGTGACCATGTGTATATAGCGTTTGTCAGGGAAGTCCTTTTCACTGCCTTCTCACACCACCGGTGTTGTTTACGAAATTGAGAGGACGAGAAGCGAATGTCCGGCGCTTTAACCGGGTTAATGGACAAGACGAGTCCACCTAGGGGAGTTGGAAAACCCTCATTCCAAACCAATGGTGCTCATAGGCTCCAGTATCCTGAGGGAACAAATGGCGTATGAATCAATCGTTGGTCACCGGCTACCATGGAAATGCATCTCCTCACGATGATCCACTGCCTTGTGGATCAGACCTTTAGGTCAAAGTCTCCGGGTGTGGTCTCCTAAGAAAAGCACCTGCTTCAGTTTGGGCAGTATCACAGCCCTTATACAGATCAAATGAGATTTGTGTAACGCATATGTACCTGGTTCTTCCTTGTACCAATATTTATGTGTTTAAATAAATAAAACTATCATGTTTTGCACCATTTCCATAATCAACAGCTAAAGACGTTGTGTGATATGGCTCAGAATCAGTTGTAATAGGGAAAATGCATCTGCTCATTATTATTCGTTAGATTATAAGTTTCAAAATGATTCTATACCTTTTACACAACAAATCCATTCTTTTTCCGCAAATTATATTGTCTATGTTTAATGGTTTTTATTGATTCTGATACTGTTCCTACTTCAATCATTCTGACATTTATCTTGATAATTTTATCTCCCTATGTTCATATAGTTTGGCCACATGAACCGATGCATAAATGGTAGGTCCTACATTGTTTTTGTGATAAACGAAATGACCAACACATTCAACTGGTCGATTGAGCGGTTATATCTATTGAAATTTGTTTAATCAAGGATTTGAAGGATCATCTAAGTAATTTCAAAATCATGCGTTATAGTCAACCAAGCTGTCACAACATTCTGTAAGAAAACAAGGTTGGTCAACTGATCGTATTATTCAATGAACATAGAAACAAACGTATTCAATTGGAGATAAGGATGAGTAAATCTTTCACGTGAATTAAATTCAATTGGCTTTCATGTGTAAGGATAATCGGCGAGACTATAATTTATGGACGACCTTTGAACGAATCTTAAGTGACCATGAGAAGTGTTAGTCAATCAGTAAACAGTCTGCACAGAGTAAAAATATATTATACAAAGCCAAATAATTTAAGTAAATACACTTTCTTTATATGGTCCAAAAACTTATCAAGGTTAGAAAAAGGTTCAAAGGTTCCAAAATCGTAATGCATGATAACGTCACAAAAACCCTCTCAGCCTTGACCACATAGCTTCATTGTTGTTTGTATGTATTCCGCTTGTGTAAGTTTATCATTTTTATTATGGATATGTCCCTACAATACACATACCACTGAACAGCCGAAGCTTCAGTAACATCTGCGATTATTGCAGCCAATGTTACTGGTGCTTTTATTATACAGTTCGCGGTAATTATTTTAAAATACCTTAGTCTCAATCTGGATCTAGCGATAAAGGTTCCTACTCTAGCAAACGTCTTCCTTCAGCATATGTTACATCGAAAGATAACATAACGTTAGTCTGCACAGGGTCTACAAATGACTCGATTGCCGCAATTACAAAAACAGGAACTTCTTAGCAGTCTAATTTGTTATAGCCGCTTAATCATCACGTCTTATCTAAAATCCTCTGTGAATCGATCGTACATGAGCATCAGGTACTGTAATTGGAGTCGTGACCTTGAAATCCCTCAAACGCTTCTGATTGGCTCGTCCATGAATTATAGTCTCGCCGGATAATCATTCTTTCTTTCCTTCTCAATCTTCAATAAAAGTACAATATCTAGCATTTACGAGCATTTAGAGTATCAGTATTGCATACAACAAGTGTATCTCCAATTGAAATTTCATTTTAATTATCTAAAATTAACTATATCTATTTTCTATGAACAAGACACTGTAGTTTATCCAAACTCTCCGGACGAAAGAAATAGTAGCAAAAAAGAATAGTAAAAATTACAATTTGATATGAAATCCTTCAGTGAAAAGTATGTTTTTTACATGTAGCGTTTAATCACTGAATGAATGAGAAAAATGTCTAAATAGTGATTATATTTTGAATAGAGAGCTGCAGATACGACGCTACAAATTCACGGACATATTTTTTATATAGTTGAAATCATGAGTCAATTGAAGTTAGACCACTATGGAAAACCTGGAAGCACTGGACGGCCGTTTCGTCCTATTATGGGACTCCTCAGCAGTGCGCATTAACGATCTCGCCTCGCGAGATTCGAACCCAGGACCTACCAGTCTCGCGCCAGAGCATTTAACCAATTGACCACTGAGTCGGCCGGCATCCAACGGTGTTGATGTCTAACCTCAACCAATCCACGGACATATATCCTATCACCTCTAAATTGTGTATTCTTTCTTCCTCCTTTTCTTTAAAAAAGAGAAGAAGAGCTAATCAGTTCACCTTACACAGTAAACAGAATGAAAGAAAACAACTTGATACAATCTTTTTACAAAACAATAAAGGGGCAAAATGAAAGTACAAAGGCTAAAATAAATGAAGTCATTTGATCTAAATATATTAACAATACAAATGAATAACAATCTGTAATATTCATTGAATTATCTATCATTTACATACAATAAGGCAGAGATAAATAGACCCAGTCATTATATATTTAACTAAACAATGTTGCACAGTTCAACCATTTGGGTACCAAAAAAAAGAGAAGTACAAGACCAAATAATATCGTCAAACATTTTGGATTTACACACTGTACATAATTTCATGGAAGATGGTAAGACTGAAGGTATAGATTGAAAAGGTATAAGAGAAAGTTCGTGTGTGTGTGGGTGGGTGCACGCGCTAGAAACACAATGCATCGTTGATATATATATATATAAAGGGAACACAGCATCAATGATGCAAATAGAATTACAAACAAACAAAAAATAAGAATATCAGAATAAAAGAAAATAATCAGAGTATAAAGAAAGAATGAACGGAACACATAGAGACAAGGAAATATAATATTTAATAAGTCCTATTTACTTCATTGTCTATAATGATCCCCTTCACAACAACTAACTAGACTACATAAGAACCAAACTCATTATTATATATAGTGAGTTAATTGAATGAAAGACAGGTTGTTTATTTATTAATTATTGAAAACGAATAGCTATTTGGAATCCTAGTAGGCTTTTCCAACTTCTCTGTGTCATTCAAATATACCATATTCTTTTGTGTACTTACATACATACGTACATATGAAATGTGTATGAAACTTTATTTGTATCTATGCATGTATGTTAGTGTGTGTGTGTGTATGTGTATTTGTAACCATAAAACGATAAGGTACAAAACAAAATAGTGTAATTATGTAATCAGTAGTAGAGAGGTATTTCAACATATGCTTCCCCCTCCACCTTATTGTTACTTACATTCTCTAATTATAATGATAATAAAAAACAAAACCGAAGAAAATTAAGCAAAAAATACAACAAATATTACAAAAAATATAATTAAAACAAAAAATACTTTAATCATAAGCCATCGACTTGAACTAATTGAATTAAAATAACGAATTAATTCTGAATGACCAGCTTCAATGGAAATTGTTGCATCATCAACATTAGCATCGATACGACGAATTGATTCATCTTGTTCATGAACCTACATATATACACATTTGTAAAACAAAACTGAAAATGGTAATTAAACAATGAAAAGTTATTTTTTGGAAATAATAATAGTACTAATTGAAAAAATCTCTAGTAGAAATAGTTACTTACTTACTACGTCTGTTACCTCTTGTGGAGGAGCATAGGCCGCTCACCAGCATTCTCCATCCAACTCTGTCCTGAGCCTTCCTTTCCAGTTCTTTCCAGTTGTTATTCATCCTTTGCATATCCGCTTCAATCTCCCGGCGTAATGTGTTCTTTGGCCTTCCGCTTTTCCGCTTCCCTTCCGGATTCCAAGTTAGGGGTTGCCTCGTGATGCAGTTTGGTGATTTCCTTAATGTATGTCCTATCCACTTCCAACGTGCTTTCCTAATTTCCTCTTCAGCTGGAAGCTGGTTTGTCCTCTCCCATAAAACGCTATTGCTGATAGTATCCGGACAGTGAATGTTGAGTATCTTGCGTAGACAACTGTTTATAAATACTTGTAATTTTCTGACGATGGAATCAGTAGTTCTCGAAGTTTCAGCTCCGTACAGTAGAACTGTCTTGACGTTCGTATTGAAGATTCTCACTTTGAAGTTAGTTGACAGTTGTTTTGAGTTCCATATGTTCTTCAATTGTAGAAATGCTCCCCTTGCTTTGCCAATCCTCGCCTTTACATCTGCATCAGATCCTCCTTGTTTATCAATGATGCTTCCCAGGTATGTGAGTGTTTCCACCTCTTCCAGAGTTTCTCCATCAAGAGTGGTTGGGTTGGTGTTCTCCGTGTTGTATTGGTACTAGTAGTAGTTGTACTAGTAGAAATAGTAGATAGTTTTATTCACCACAGGCGACCGCGTAATATTTTGAATTTATTGAAATTAAACACGGCAACTATTGAATAATGGCTTGTTGATCTACGAGTTAATCTCTCAGAGAGAAATCTGAAGGCCTTAGGTTCCACCATTCCCGGTAGGGGAGAAGCTGGGGACTGTTAAGTAGTTTTATACTATGAAGAAACAACTGTCTAGTGCTTTCTGGTTTTTAATGGACATTTAATTAAGATGTAAACCATGGAAATCCAACAATCGCCACAAATTCCTATGGCCATATTTTAATAGTGCATTGTATAACATTCGGCTGTAAGGTCACGTGATTCGCTCGCGCACAATCACCCGACCAACGATCAAGTAACAAATCACATAACCAAAAGAGTATATTATGATGAAGTACAAAGACGGAGCAGGGGTACATATTAAAAAATAGATATGTGGGATAGCACATAAGTCTGTTTGCACTCATTAGCTAATCGCAGCTTACTTTCAGTGAACACATTAGAATGGCTATTCATATTAATGCAGAATTTAGGTAAAATAACAGAATAATAGTAAGAGTATAGTATGGGGAAGAGCTTCAAATAACTACGACGAAATTCTAGTCATTTCATAGTCAATCAGAAGACAGCTGTGCAAATGGATTGTTTATGGGGAAGAAAGCAATAATATTTCAAACTGAAAGCAAATTTTACATAATTTATTTTTTATTTATTTATTTATTTAAACACATAAATATTGGTACAAGGAAGCACCAGATAAACATGCGCCACAAATCTCATTCGATTTGTGTAAGGGCTGTGATTATTATTTATTATTATTAATAGCTTTATTCAATATTATGTTTTTGGTACAATATAGAATTCTCAGCACAAAGTACTTCAACAAGTTTCCGTTTCTTACTTCTTCGTCCATCCTGACGATAAATATTGAATGATCGCCAGTTAGAAGTTAGCAGTCCAGTCAATCGACATCTGAATAATGTACATTCTTCTTGCTGAATATTGCCAGCAACCACGATATCTCTGATTAGGCCTTCTGTAACCTTTACAGCGAAAGGTTGTACACTTTTCAGAAACGTACCTGAATAGGTTGTGCGATTAATAGTCATAATGATGTATTAAAACAAACAAAATTAGATAACTTGTTGAAATATCTAGATGACAGGAACAGGTAGCCCAGATGTTTAAACAGGCCGTGATACTGCCCAGGTTCCCAGACTGAAGCAGGTGGTTTTCTTAGGGGGCCACACCCGGAGCCTTTGACCTGAATGTCTGATCCACAAGGCAGTGGAGCATCGTAGGGAGAAGTAGTCCCATGGTAGCCGGTGATCAACGGTTGATTCGTACGCCATTTGTTCCCTCAGGATACTGGATCCCATGTGCACCACTGGTTTGGAATCAGGGTTTTCCAACTCCCCTAGGTGAACTTTCCATGTCCACCAACCCGGTTAAAGCGCCGGACATTCGCTTTTCTTCCTCTCAATTTCGTAAACAACGCCCCCGCCACGAGAAGGCAGTGAGTAGGACTTCCCTGGCAAAGACTATATATTCGCTGGCCATATGAGAGCATAAGAGTCTACTATCTGTATACAGAAAGAAGAATATCATATAAATTCGTCCACATGGATGTACAATATCCATCTTCTTGAAAGATTATAAAGAAGGAGGTTTTTGGGAGCCCCTAGACTGCTTTTGGCTTATAAATTAGTGTTAGAATTGAAGATTAGGAGTTAGGGTTAAAGTGCTCATCACAAACTAACACCAATTAAAATCCATGAATACTTTATCGCTATATAGATTGAAGATTTTCAATACAAATGTCAAGGCAGTTCTACTGTATGGGGCCATCATCCAGAAGATACAGGTGTTTGTCAACAGTTGTCTACGCAAGATACTTCAGATTCGTTGGCCAGACACTATCAGCAACAAGTTACTGTGGGAGACAACAAACCAGATTTCAGTGGAGGAAGAAATCAGGAAGAGGCGCTGGAAGTGGATAGGGCACACCTTGAGGAAACCACCTGATTGCGTCACAAGACAAGCCCTCACATGGAATCCTGAAGTTCAAAGCAGAAGAGGAAGACCAAAAAACACATTACGCCGAGATATAGAGACAGATATGAGAAGAATGAACAAAAACTGGATAGAACTAGAAAAGAAGGCCCAGGACAGAGTGGGTTGTAGAATGCTAGTCGGCGGCCCATGCTCGATTGGGGGTAACAGGAGTACGTTAGTAAGTAAGTATATATATTGAAGAGTTTGGAATTTAGGATTAGGGGAATTAAAGTTTAGATCAGAATTAACGGTCTATAATTAGGATTAACGAACAGTCACTTTTAATCTATGGCAAAAAAATGTAGATTTTCGTTATCATTTTAAAGGTTTGTGCAATATACCAAAGCATTTGCACTGTTCGTCTTAATTGAAATAGGAAAAAAGTCATATTCATCTTCTAATTTCGCATAAAATACCTGACAGTAAATGGATCTGATTAGCTAGTCATGAAATTAGATTTTTAATAGAATAATAAATACAACTCAGTAACAAAAGTATGAGATCATATAGTCGATTTTGAAGTATAGCTTTTTGAGTGAAGAGTAATCATATTACCCAGTTACTTAAGACATTGTACGAAGTATGGGATTTAAACATGAGGGCAAGAGGTTGAAACCTGAATATTGTAACATTAACCCATCTATTCTACTAACCTATGGATACATTTAACTAAAAATTGAATTTCTACTATCAATTCAATATACACCCCTTTTCAGCTAAATAATGTCGTTTGGGCTGAAGTTTGCACAGAATTATTATTTAAGTTAGCTATATCAAGAGCGCTTTTTTGTTAAGACAGTCTACTTTTGTTGAAATATTTCTGAAATTAAATTTTAACACCATTGTTGAACAATCAATTGGATGGAACTAGTCATTATACATCAACTTGATTGACAGTGTGGATAAGACGACCATACGGAACATTCTCCGACACTAAGGAATACCTGAGAAGATCGTCAACATCATACGGAATTCACACGACGGACTACACTACAAAGTGGTGTATGGAGGACAGTTGATATATGCATTCCAAGTGACAACCGGTGTCAGACAGGGCAGCTTACTCTCTTCCTTTCATTTTCTTCTGGTGGTTGACTGGATTATAAAGACCTCCACATCTCAGAGGAAGAACTGAGTACAATGGACAGCCAATATGCACCTAGACGATTTGGACTTCGCAGATGACCTAGACCTATCCCATACACAACAACAAACGCAGATGAAGACAACTAGTATAGCAGAAGTAGGCCCCAACATACACAAGGGAAAAACCAAGATCCTCAAATACAACACAGAGAAAACAAACTCAATCACACTTCATGGAAAGACTCTGGAACAGGTGGAAACTTTCAAGTATCTGGGTATCATCATCGATGAACAAGGACAATCTAATGCAGACCTAAGAACAAGGATTAGCAAAGTAAGGATAGCATTCCTACAGTTGAAGAACATATGCAACTCAAAACAACTGTCACCCGATATCAAAGTCACAATCTTCAACAAGAATGTCAAGACAGTTAGTTCTATTGTACGAAGCTGAAATTCCCAGAACTACTACAACCATGATAAAAAAAGTATAGATAATCATAAACACTTGTCTACGTAAGATATTCAATGTCAATTGACCGGATACCATCAGCAACAACCTACTGTGAGAGAGAACAAACCAACTTCCAAACAAATAAGAAATTAGGAAAAGACGTTGGAAGTGGATAGGACATACATTCAGGATATCATCAAACTCCATCACAAGGCAAGCGCTAATTTGCTATCCTTAAGGGAAACAGAAAAGAGGAAAGCCAAAAAGTACACTACACTGGGAATTGGAGGTAAACATGATTAGGATGAATAACAACTGGAAAGAACTGGGAAGGATTTTCCAGGACAGAGTTGAATGGAGAATGCTAGTGGGTAGCCAATGCTCCTCTATTAGTGGTAACGGGAGTAAGTAAGTAATGTGCTTACACAGTTGACAAATACTCAGTGTGTGGAAAAAATGTTATTATCAAACGAGTAACACTGGAAGATGATTTTATAATGTAGTCGAACATATGAAATATTATATACCGTTCATCTCCAGACCTAAAGGACCTTGGTTCCAAACCCGACGGAGGTAAAACTTGGCAGTCTTAAGTAGTTTCATAGCCGGATAAAACAGCTATCCAATTCTTCTTGACTTGTAGTTGTTGTATAACTAGGAATAATTGATGTAAACTATTAAAACAAGCTTGTTGATTAACTAAAGTACCAAATGATAGTTTTTAGTTATAATCTAGCCATCTATAAAAAGATAAATACATTGCTATGGAGAATTTAGGTACTTCCTTTACATGATATTATTGATTAATTTATCAAAAATGTCGATAAAACACGAACAAAAACACACGATTGAATTCAATCTTTTCATCGTCTATTCATTCATATATATACAAACAACAATGGAATAACAAAATAGAGTTTACTTGAAAATACTTTTAAGTTAGAAAAGTAATAGAAACTAAAATGGCATCATTAAAATGAATACAAAAATGTCAAATCAATCTTTAAGTTTCCTGATACTTATTATTTACTTGTTTAAACACATAAATATTCGTACAAACGAGCACCAAATATATATGCACCACACAAATCTCATTTGGTTTGTGTGAGGGCTGTGATACTGCTCAGGTGCCCAAACTGAAGTAGGTGGTTTTCTTAAGGGGCCACATCCCGAGCCTTTGACCTAAAGGTCTAACCCACAAGGCAATGGAGCATCGTGAGGAGATGCAGTACCATGGTAGCCAGTCATCAACAATTGATTCATACACCATTTGTTCCCTCAAGATACTGGAGCCCATGTACATCATTGGTTTGAAATCACGGTTTTCCAACTCCCCTAGGTGGACTTTCGGTGTCTACCGGCCCAATTAAAGCGCCAAACATTCGCTTTTCGTCCTCTCAATTTCGTAAACAACACCCCCGCCACGAGAAGGCAGTGAGTAGGACTTCCCTGGCAGAGGCTATATGCGCGTGACCATGTGACAGCATTTCGAGTGGGAGAGAGGACTCTCCCCACTCTCGGCCGTACCAGGGCAAACTACCAATAAACTATATAAATCTCCAGAAACTATATAACTAATTATTCGTATTGTAAATTTGTAGATATCTAAAATGTATGATTATGTAAAATGAATACATAATTAATGAATAGTGAAAACAGATAACAAATTTAACTAACCATAGTAGCTAATTGTTGAAAAATCTGTCCTAGTTCAACAATTGTATGCTCAATACTTTGCATTGCATCTGATCGAGATAATAAATAGGAATCAGTTTGATCAGGATTGATATATTTTTGAGCAAGTCCTAAATTTGAGTTTATAGGTAGAGTAGATGGTCCTAAATTCCCTAAACCATCCAATCCATCATTTCCTTGTTTTTCACTGAGTAAAGCTTCTCTAGCACGTTCATCATCCTTTATAATTATGAAAAGAAAAAATACATTGAGGGTCACTACTCTTCGTAATTTTATACAAATGTCCATTTATAAAACCTATTTAGTGAAATTATAATGATGACTGACTATTAGGTGATATTAAAATGACCATGAGAAGATTCATCTATTTACTGGGGTCAAAAGGTGATAGATTAGTAAGACGAATTACGATTAAGGTTTAGAATTTTTATTTATTTAAACATACAAATATTGGTACAAGGAAGAACCAGATATATATGCGTCACACAAATCTCATTTGATTTGTATGAGGGCTGTGATGCCGCAATGGTGCCCAAACTGAAGCAGGTGATTTTCTTAGGGGGCCACATCCCGAGCCTTCGGCCTAAAGGTCTGGTCTACAAGACAGTGGAGCATCGTGAGGAGATGCGGTACCATGGTAGCCGGTCACCAACGATTGATTCATACGCAATTTTTTCTCTCAGGATACTGGAGTCCATGTGCACCATTGGTTTGGAACCAGGGTTTTCTAACTCCCCTACGTGGACACTCCACATCCATTAACCCGGTTAAAGCGTCGGACATTCGCTTTTCGTCCTCTCAATTTCGCAAACAACACCGCCGCCACGAGAAGGCAGTGAGTAGGACTTCCTTGACAGAGGCTATATACGTGTGACCATGTGAGAGCATTTCGAGAGGGAAGGCAGACTCTTCCTACTCTCGGCCGTACCAGGGCATTTGGGGTTAAAAATTAGAAATTTCATACAGATATTTCCTTTTATTATCTTAAAGAGAGCAAGAACGAAGATTGGTGCAGAATAGTATGAATTCATTTTGTTTCGTTAGGTTATCATCAGATGCTTACAACCTAAAATATTTGGAAATCAACGTTATTACAGATATTGACATACGAGGGTGATTAAAGATGAATATATGTATTATGATTAGAGTTAGGGTTTCATCACGAAATGACATCAGCTATAATACTAAAACGCTCTTTAACCAAATAGATGAGTGAACTTCGCAACAAAATCCAAAAGCGAACTATCTTTATTCTCATTATAGTCTCGTCACCTAATTTTTTCAAGTTTTTGGTGTAAGTCAGTAAAGTTTAGGTATGTATAATTAGCTTTGTGTAAGTAATAACAATACTAATTAGTCTCTAAAACTTAAGTAGATAAAGTGGTATTCGCACTTGTTACGATCAAGATAACTTGGAGAGAATGCGTACGATAAAAATACCTTAGCATGTTTAATTTAGAAGTAGTACACGTTTCCTTGGCATTTCATTTGTTATAACGGAATAGATATTTTAAAAGTTGGGACCGGCTTTTTCTAATTACTATTAATTATAATTTTGTTGTATAATTACTTAGTAACTAGATTACCTTGTCTATGTATTCCGTTTATCATAAGCTCTCGGTTAATCTGTAGACTAATTTGTTGCCAGTCTATTATTTAGTCTCCCCACCATTAGAGACCTATCAGTTGAATTAAGATTAATAGTGCTGGTTGTACGCTTAGTTGATCAAACCAGAGATACTAAGTCATAGAAATCGGGGTGCTGATTGGTGAATTCGCCACGTGATACTGGCAGAGGTCTTCAAAAAACAATATCTTTTTGAGCGGAATGACGATGTAAGCAAACACTAGGCTAAATAAGTAAACTAATTACAGTCAACATTATGTGCCTTAAAGCATTTGAATGGAGTTTTTGTGTGGATTGAGTTTACGTTTTAAATATTTTAAAAACTCCACGATAACTGATTTTAACGAACATATTATCACTGGGAAGAAACTATTACAGTAATGAAGTCTTAATGCTATCTACCTATTAACAAAAGATAAATGCACATGATGCTTGTGACCCGACACAAATGTGAATCACAGTAAGCACTGAAGCCTTGTATTGACTAATACACAAGGACAACAAAAGGAAAAATAGTGGGGAGGAATTAACAATATAACGACATTAGTGGACTGAAGAGAAAAGTGAAGAAAACTGATGATAGAAATGTTATAGTTTTTAAATTACGAACTAATATCTTAGCTAAACCGGTATTGAAAATCTAGAATTAGTGGATGATTGTTTCGTCCAAGTATGGGACTCGTCAGAGATGGGCGTCCAAAGATCAAAGTTATAATCCTCGTAAATCCCCCTATGCTTATATTAATCACGTACTCACCTGTGACTAGCTTCAGCACGCAACTACTAGAGTTTTAGTTAGAAGTCGTGATCAATGGAGTCCAACGATATCAGGTGTAAGTCAGTTATCCACCGAAGACAATGGATGAGGGTTGGGAGATATCGTTAATCGATTGAAATTAGAGATTAACAACACTGGGTATCGACTCAATGGTCTAGAGATTAGGCATTCGTTAGTGAGATTAAAGGTCCTGGGTTTGATTCCTAGGCACGAGGTCATGGGTGCGCACTGCAGAGGGTTTCCACACTTGAATGAAACAGCCATCCAACGCTCTCAGGTGGTTTAGCTAAGATCAGTTCATGACTTGAAAACTACAAAACTTCCACGATCCCCACAAATCCTCCCATATAAATTTATTAACAGGATAAAGCTTGGACCGTTTCACGATCTAATCCAGCTGAAATGAGGATAAGTTGATTGGTCCACTTTCTACAAATTAGAACCGGTGGGCGAATCGAGATGTTAGGAAATTCTTATATAAGTTCTATTGTTCCGACTTCTGGATCTTTATTGTGCGGGTTTATTGAGTTATACATTTTTCGTTTTCAATTCTTGTTTTGATTTGGAAAGAACCGAGTGAAATATAATCTTCAAGGTATATCAAACAATAGAACATAAAACAATAAAAGTAACAGTTGATATGACATTTAAGATTTAAAGGAAATTAGAAAACGATGCTTACTTTTAACAAAACTGACGGAATAACAACATGTGGAGGCTTTATAGATGACATTGTTTCAGATGATTCATACTTGTCATCCAATGAACTATATTTGCTTTTACGAGCATTCTGTGACTTTATATTCTCAGAACGGTATTCTAGCACTCCTCGAAATTGATCAGACATTTTGGCAAGATGCGTTTGCAAAACCATTAGTACAGAACGAGAGTGTGTAGATTGTTGTTTCCCAACAGATACCTGTGACAAAAAGAAATAATAAGACTTGATTAGAGAAATATCCTGATAATAAAAAAGAATTGAATTTATGTTAACTCGATTATTATAATGGTTCTCGTGCGAAATGAGATTTCAGAAAGCATATAAAAATTAGATGATGTATGTCGTAAGACTGTAGCATAAACTATTAGTCTACACATAGTATGATAAAACGGAGTCCCAATATTTGGGTTTATCTATGATGTTCATAAATTACCTAGTCGAATCCTATTTCCGTATTCATTAGTAATACACTTTGAAACAAACTGCTAGAAGTCTTGGATGGACAAAGTATGAGTACACATTGGATGTGAACAAATGTGTTGGAGTACATAATGGAGTGATAGTTGTGAGTATATTGTTTGTATTGTTGTTAGTAAATCTTGTTCTTATATTCATAAAAGTTAGTGATTTGTCTTTTACGGTGATAAGATCTCATTTTCGATTATTTCTCTCACCGATAAAGCGAAACTTTCAGTTTTAATTTTCTTCATTACATTTGATTTCAAAAGCTACGTGAATTACGTGAAAAGGTATGAACCATTTTTGCGCTTCAAGTTTGCAACTAGCCTGAATATATAATTCTTTCTAACTTTCCAATTACGGTTACGAGCTGTCCACAAAACAGCTTTAATAGAAAAATAAAAACTATGCTAGGCCAGCAGGAAATGAGAATGTTTGCTTCCCTTCATTAAACATTCAGTTGATCCTATTCCATTTTCATATCTGATACGATGGCTAAGAATTAAGCCCAACAGTTATGTCTTAATATATCGCAGTGAATGACCTAAAAACTGATTTCTTCTAATTACCTGTGTCATTTTATTATGGGAGCCTTTCCTTCTGGCTACTAGTATTGTTTTTAATTGAAAATCATTCAGAGGTTCAAGTCAATAATATGATCTTGTGAGCATCTGTTACTCAGTTATATAAGTTTATTGGGTTTATCTATCAATTAGCATTCTACTTTTTTTTCGTTCTAACAATTGATAATCGGTTCATAAAATGTCATTAAATTCCCTCTCTATAACAGTGACAACGAGGGTGAACAATAGTTAAACTTGACTTTGAGAAGTCTCATAGGTGCTAATCTTGTTGAGTCTTGCAAAAGCATAAGATCATGCACGAATGACAAAGTATTCTGATCTCAGAAATTTAATTTAAGATACACATTCCACCAATGACCTTTACTAAAGATGAATACTGCCCCATATAGTCTATATATCCCCTAAGTGGAATCAACATTAACAGCAACTGAAAAAAAAAGAAAACTGTGAAAATCCCTCCATAGCATTTTATTGGACCTGGGATTTTCTGTCTTGAATACGTACGCTTGACACCGAGTCCACTGAGGCTGGGTCAACTGGTTTACATATTTAATTACAATCAATTCTTAATATCGCGCAACCATGACTGACAATTATGACCAGCATGATGATACACTTTCTGTCCTGAAACTTGATTATATAATTATGTGTCAAACACAGACACACCATCAAAGTTCTGCGTAAGATGTAGTACGTCAAAAAACAAACATGAAGACTATGGTTGATAGAAGTTCCACCAAACGTATGTCAGACTGTCTCACAATCTTTAAGTGGTTATTTTGATGGAGTTTCGTTCTCTGAGCTGGATGGTTTGGTCATGGAGCTTCCATCGTCCTTCTGAACGACATCATCAGCACAAACTTCGGGTAGAAGTGAAGTGTTCGAATTTTTCCGCACGTGGTTCACAGCTTGTCCTGTACACTTCGATGTTGATTGGTTCTTGTTGACCTTAAATTTGTTATTGTTTACTTCTTTGTAAACTCCATCAAAATCATCCACCTGAGCTACAAATCTTCCCCGCTATCTCAAGTGGTTATTCTCTAAAAGATCTGTCAATCTTAAGTGAAATGAACGTTTTTTTAAATAATAATCTTCGATTATCATACATGTTTGATGCAATTGTAGATTATGTCACCTAGTGATTAAGAATCAAAATCCCTTAAAACAATCAATACAGTTCAGGGAAACTACTTCCTAATAAAGATCTAATGAAACTATCAGTCAGTCAGTCACAACGTAGAACTTCGTACGTACGTACATCAGTTCGAGTTGCCATACTACATCAGCACAGAGATGCAGTTGTCCATTCAAACCCCATAGTGGTAGAATTAGTAGCAGTATAAGCAGTAATCCGAAAGATCAAGGTTTGAAGAGGTTATTTAAGGAGTATAATCCAGTGAAATAAATTTGAAAAGAGAAAAAAGATAAAACATAAAGAATTCAGAGGATTAGAATTTGCAAGAACACAGAGAGTGGATGCACCTTCCCCATTGCAAACGATTATGAGCCATGTCATTCAAGGTCTCTAACCATCGATTGCTATCATGTCGCGGATCCCAACCGGGTAGTCTACACTTACCAACATGGCTCAGTCCACTTGTCAGTGTTTTCATGGATTTGTGCCACATTTTGATCTGGACGACCATAGATTTCTTCCAACTTACTCCTACACCATAAAACATTGCACGTTGGGGCAGTCGGTGGTTGGGCATACGTAAAAAGTGTCCCAGCCAAATCAACTGACGAAGTTTCACTACTTCATCAATCGATTTGCCATCCTTACCTAGTAACCGTTTCCTAACAACTGCATTACTTACTCAGTGGTCCCAGGATATACGAGCAATGCTTCGAAGACACCTATGATCAAATACTAGTAGCCTATGAATATCCTCTACTCTTACCGGCCATGTTTCACTGCCATAAACTAGGACGGAGCGAACTGCTGCACAGTAAAGCCGTCCTTTGTTTGCTAGACGGATATCTCGCCTACGCCATAAATGACGCAAGTTGGCGAAAGCTAGATTAGCCTTCTGTATCCGTGCTGAGATTTCATCACACACCAGACCACAAGGGCTGATGAGACTCCCAAGATAAGTGAAGTGGTCTACACGCTCAACTACTTCACTCCCTATCATTAGTTCAGGTGTCAATGCAACCCAATCCTGAAGTAACATTTTGCACTTCGAGGGGGAGAATCGCATCCCAAACATATCTGCATAGTTGCTTATAGTGGTGAAAAGACCCTGCATTTTGTCAGCGTCTTCACCAAATAGAACTATGTCATCGGCGTATTCTAAGTCAAGAAGTGAGCCTCCCGGTAAAAGTTCAACTCCTGGAGATTTGGATGATGAAAGTGTTATCTCTAAAAGCATATCAACGACAAAGTTAAACAAGAATGGAGAAGTTAAACAAAAACGGAGAGTTAAACAAGAATGGAGGCTATATGATATATTGGATAGTTAACAATCAAATTCCGAGCAATAAAAAGTTTTAAGTAAACTAAATAACTTTAAACTATGATGATAAAACCATAATAATTAAAAATGGCAACGATAATAATAATAATATTTTTATATAAAGTTGATAGAATAATGTGACAGTAAGTAAACTTTTATTGTTCTGTCTCATAACACTATACAGAACTCATCAACCAGAAACAAATTCATTTACTAGACTTTTTGACGAAGTTCAAACTCGCGACCAACTGACTGAAAGTTAGAAGCTTCAGTAATTAAGCCACTGATACAAAAGGTAAAAAAAACTTATACATAAATTCTAATTAGTATTATGTGAATAAATTTAGAAAATAATAAACCAATTAACGGTGTTTCCTTCAAGTTTCATATCGTTGATAAAACAACACATTGGAATGTAACAGTCTATGGTTGAAGCTATGTTGATTACCACTTTGGATGAAGTTGAGAAACAGACATAGAATATGTATATTAAGTGTAATATATTTGGTTTAATTCTTCTATTTTAAGAACATATGGTACTCGAACAATTTATATTCTTTGAAATATACAACTAAAATGGAGTGGTGAGTTCATCTGATACGCAATTAACACCAAAAACAATGCTATGAAAAATTTTACTCTACAGTGTGAATGTCGATTTTAAATCAATTAACATGGGTATTTGAAATTGTTAACAAATTCCAAGTTGGTGCTCGACTTTCTGTGACAATCCAGTCAGCCGGTTGCAACGTAGAACCTGGTATGTATGTACATCGGTTCAAGTTGCCAAACTCCGTTAGCATAGAGAGATTAAATTGTTAGTCCAAATGCCAGAATAGTAGAGGTAATAACAGTATCAGTGGTAACAGGAAAGATTAGGCACCGGAGATGCGACTCAAGAAGACATAATCACGCGGACCGTAACCAAGGAGTTTATTTCTGTTGACATGACTCAGTCTAATTACCAGAGACTTCATGAAGTGATGTCACAACTATTTACATTAAAAATAGATCACAACTATTGTGTTAAGAGCAATAAAACCAACATATGTTCCTGTCAACTAATTCCTGAGGAAAGACCTATTCATGAAAATAAACTTAGTTTAACTCACCTGAGATTTCGAAATTTCTTGTAAATTAGCAATCCTATTGTTTAGATTCGCTATAGACTCTTTTATAACATATGTCAGGTGTTGAATTTCCGAACTATGATCATCAAATAGCGTTTGTTTGCGAGCTAATGCATTCAACTGTTCCAATTTAGAAAATGTATTCGTTAGATCTTGACTAATAACTGAGGCCGCTTTCATAAACTGTGAACGTTGACTAAGAGCGGTAGATTTTTTATTAGAGTGATCTTGATTCTTCATAGATCCATTTGGAACATTAATTTTGTGTGAAATATTGTTTTCAAATACGGAATCATTGGAATTAGCTTTAGGCATCCCCAAAGATGTGTGATCCATTACGTGATTTCCAAATGAATTAGAAGGTAATTCATCTTGGCGCTTAAATTCATTCAATTTAGAACGACTAAGTTGAACGGAACGTATAAAATCGGAGGTACGATCAACTGCTGAACACATCTGAAATGGATGAGATAGCTATTTCTTAGGATAATGGAATTTTCAGAAACAAAGTAATAAAGCACTTATGTTCAATAATTGGCCACAAGCTGTCAAAATCCTTAGTTAGAGCACAAAATATTGTTATAGCTCAGTACATTGAACAACATCATGTACACTGATGAGCAGCCCAATATCCTTCAACAAAGGAAATTGGAAACTTTTTCCGTAAGACAAAAGGAATAGGCGAGAAATTTGCATAATTGGACAAGGATGAAAGTAAGTCTCAACATAACGAACCAAAAACATTTGGGTTGTAGCTCTACAACAGTCAAGAAAAAAGTATGAATTCAAGCTTATTAAAGCCTATAGAATACTCAAAACGCCTACTTCCGTACATAAACAGTAAAACAGAGAAGAGTGTAATATTTCAGAATCGCATGGAAATGGGTCAATAATATCATTCAGGGGAGATAACTCACAAACTTATTTATTTAAACACTAACATCTTGCTACTATACGGCACTAAAAAGCGCCTTACGCAAATAAATTCATACTATTGTGAAGAAATAAGGGGGCGAACGATAGTACATTTAACAAATAAATGAACAGAAACCGTATTTAATAAGACAATACAGTTCAGTTAAAGATACAGCCAAGAAAAAAATTTTCAATTTCGTTATCTCACTTTGACAAGGAGTATGATAGAAAGCTACAGCAAGATCGTCATAGGTTTTTATTTTGAATCATATCTAAAAACGTCTCAGATCACTGAGCTACACTATCTCTAGAACGGTGGATTAGGAGTCGTGATAAACCGACAAACAACAGTCCTATACAGCTAATCCTTTATACCATATCATAAACTGGTTACCTTTCCTCTTCTCCACTCGGTCTCAGAATTGCCAAATAATGTGCAGTGTGGATATCCCTGGAAAAATATTCGTAAAAGTAAGCCATCAAAGTCTGTGTTTGAAAATAGTAACACTAATTCAATTATCGTGACCATTTCCGAACACGTTGCCAGACCTCAGTACTATACCATGAGTCTACATCCAACTCCCAACTTACATATATACTTCTGACACTAATGGAAGGAGAAAACATCTGCACAGACTAGTGTCCCAAAAGATTGTCTACGAGAAAATAACATTCCCGGAAATTAGATTAACCCCGAAAATCGGGGAAGGAATGAAGCGTGTTGAGCAGAAATTAATTGTCTTTCGCATGACATGGGATACCCTAATGGAATGGATGGTCCTAAAAAGCAAAGTGAAACATTCCTAAAGAGTAATGAAAATTTTTTAACAAGGGTTTGCCCAGATTTAACAAACTGAGAGGCTGATATAAATCAGCCATCCGAAAAAACGTTGGGAGTTCAGGGTTATCTTCGAGGAGGTAACGAAGCCCTCTACCCAGTAAATAGTGATAAAACTCTTTCATATGACTTACATGATAATTAAAACTGAGTTGTTGAATTTAACCCAGATAAAACCGAAAGTTAAAACCAAACAATTTGAGTGGTTTACTCAGATAATACTAACATTAGCACATCGTAGTTATGCTGTTGAAATACAGAGTGAAATGCGTTCATAACACAGAAAGTAGTTTTGCTGGATTATTACCCTTAATCCTAATGAGCTACCATGTACTGATGGGTTACATTCTTGATTGCTATTCTTCCTGGTAGACACTTCCATAACGTTTCTGTTGCCTCAAAGACAGAATAGGAAAAATGGAACAATATCTGGACATAAACCTGCAAAAGGTAGTGTCATGAGGCACAATTTTAGGTCCTGAACTGTCCCTACTCTAAGTTAATAGCTTTCTTAGGCTTGATATTGTCTTACTGTGCGATAATGCCCAAGGCATGCAATCAGCACTTAATCAGTTGGCAATCAGTGTCCGCAGGTACGGCATGTGCTTTGCACCCTCCAAGTGCAAAGTACTTCTACAAGACTGGCAGGATTCTCATCCTGTACTCACCCTGGATGGTGAGGAGATCGAAGTAGTTGAGAAGTTCGTGTATCTAGGTAGCTATATAAGTGCTGGTGGTGGCGTGAGTGATGAGATTGATGCACGTTTAATGAAAGCCAGAGCGGCTTATGCCAATCTGGGTCATCTTTGGCGCCTTCGTGATGTTAGTCTGGCTGTAAAAGGTCGGATCTACAACGCGTCGGTGAGAGCAGTTTTGCTCTATGCTTGTGAAACCTGGCCTCTCCGAGTTGAGGATGTTAGACGTCTCTCTGTGTTCGATCATCGTTGTCTCCGAAGGATTGCTGACATCCAGTGGCAACACCATGTTAGTAATGCAGAGGTTCGGCATCGTGTGTTCGGGCGCAGAGACGATAATTCAATTGGTGTCACCATCTTGAAACACCGACTTCGGTGGCTCGGACATGTTTTACGAATGTCGTCCCAGAGACTTCCGCGTCGTGCATTATTTGCCGACCCTGGGACTGGTTGGAGAAAGCGGAGAGGAGGTCAGTGTATGACGTGGTGTCGTGGCATGAAAGAGAGCTGCAAAGGGCTAGCTTCCGTTGGTCCTTCACGACTCCCTGGTTGGGGTCCGAGAGATAGTGCAACACTGGCTAGAGACGTTATCGGATATGGCTCAGAATAGAAGCCAGTGGCGATCCTGCTGCAACCTTCTTTTACTTTCTACATAAAGAATGGTTCTAACTTTCCTAACTGAAAGAATCTTCTGGTTGTACATTTCAGCCCGCCTTATCTTTTCATCCTTTATCTACCTACTTTCATTATTTTGTGTGGCGCATATGTACCTGATGCCCTTTTGCACCAATATATATGTGTTTAAATAAATAAATAAATAAAATTCTTAGGCTTCTAGGTCACTACCACTTACTTTCAGATGTAAACGTTCAAAGTGCAATGAGCACTAATGCTGATGGGCTAAATCATGTCTTAATATATATTTTGATGCCTCAGAGTATTTAAAGGGTGGGTAGTAATTAAGTGTCATGTTCCCCCAAATCTCTTCTACAACGATGAATTAAAATATATAGATCTTTAATTCCTTGTTATAAAACGCGAGACTTTGTGCCATTATTCTGAGCGTGAAGTGACGAATTGGATACCAAGGTGTTTTTATTTTGTCTAGGACTAGTCATTTTTTGAAGTCATTAAAGGAAGTTTCACAAACAACAGTCAGATAAACTCAGGGTGGAGTTCCATCCTTTCATCCGATGAAACACCTTATTCGGAGGAGCAGTTGTCGTCTCACAAGTGAATGCCTCAATGCAGAAACTAGATCTTCAAAGGAAAACATACAAGGATCAAAACAAGTCAACTAACCTACTATCTCTACCACTGAAAGCTTACATCTTTCTGGAACAGAAAATGACAAGTATCCAGGAAGTGACAAACGACACCCGACAAGTCTGGGTAGTCCTTAGATTACCACATTCTGTGTCTCATTTTATATAGAAGTCAGTAGGAGAATCGTCCACATATGTATATCCATAAGAGGTTTTTTAAAGAATGATGAAAGGTTAGAGCCTAATAACCCTAACTGTCCACACAAAAAAAGATTGCGTTGTAAACAACACATGAGTTGTATCACACTTGTTGACTAATTAACAGCTACTTCTCTGAAAAGTATTCATTTAGGGGACATGAATGTACATTTCAGAATTACTTCTTCATGAGATTTAAATCCACCAAAACCTTGTCAGAAGTGCAACGAATAAGAAATTTTTAAAACCAAAATCCCAAGGATAATTCACAAAGTAGGAATGTCTCACTTGAAATTATGTCCTAAGATAAATAGGTGCAACGTAGTAGCGCACTACTCCAAAACAACCACAACTATCAAAATAACAAAGTACAATCATTGACAAGAAAAAATGACTAATTATTAGTTTCTCGTGATATGTGTAAGTGATTACGTTTTTTAGTTATGGAAAGCTGAAATTCTTGTTCTCTTCCTTTAAGAACCAAAAAGAGCGAAAAATCAAATTATAATGAAATGAATGATTTTCGAAAACCTTCAATTTTCGACTACCTTAGTACCACTAAAAGTGAAGTAATTTCCTGTTTTCCTCCACCTCTGTCTCTTCCAAGAGTTTGTTCCACAGTTTGTAAGAATTAACATGGGTTTTTCTGCTATGCAGTGAAGTTAAATGGAAGTCATTTAGTATTGAAGAATAATTATTGCTTTTTAAAGGAGTCATGTTATACGCAACATGATACACCATGATCATAGTCCGTATTACTGTGGCGGATACTTGTTGCATTTTACATAATACTTCAATATCAATATAGGGTGTGACAACACCTGTATCTTTAATAATTGAACAACTGAAGATCCCAAACCCATTCAAAACTGAAGTCTGGAATGAAAGGGTCCAATGAAATATTTGAAAGATGATCGGCGTGTCGATAATTTTGTGTGATTTAATTTGGCTAGCCGTTTTAAGGGATGTGTGGCAAGTGTAATAGTGACCTGATGAGAAAACGTGAACGAGTGCCTTCAGCTAGTGAGTGTCGATTAAAATCAATGTAATCATAATTAATTTCGAAGGCCTAAAAAACTACTTACATTGGGGAATTATTTATCGCTACGTAATCTTACTCTAGTTAGTAAGATTTAAGACAGCGAAGCTCATCAACATGGACGCAGCTCTCACCACAAAAATGAGCTGGACAATTTGTACTGGAACATTTATATCTAACTCTTTTTGCCTTTGAATCCTTTGTGTGGAAATAAATTCAATCATACCATGAGAGTAAGGATAAGAATATGTGGCAAGTTATCACAAGTCGATTACTTGTAGGACCAAAAGAGAATGGTAATTACCAAAGTTTTCTTATCGAAGTAGTGTTCAATTATCCGAGTCTTCATCAATAAGTGAAGAGCTAGACCAACTCATTCTTTGTCTCTCCTTATTTCAGCAATGTAAAAGTCCCTAAATTTTAAGAATTTGACGATTGTAAAAGTACGAGCTATAAGGCCTTCTTGTCTCCTAAGTTTTAAGTTTATTTATCGTTTGGGGTATTATCCACTTATTGGCCTAAAATTATTGAAGAATGAGGAACATAAAAAGATTTAAGCTATTACTTCTCTTAGTCAAGACTTGAACCTCATAGTTCATAGTTCTGTTCAATGTCTTGATAAGGTAACGGTCTTTTCTGAAATTGGTACGAACATACGATTTCATCCTATGGTAAGAATTGTGTACAGTCAGGAAGACCTATATGCGAGGGTCGGGCTCCGGACCAAATCTCTCCCAAAGCAATCACAACTAATAATACTGAAGATACGACCAGTATTGTGGTTTTACAACTATAAACCAGTGACACCTATATTCGAATCGTCCCTCAATCGGTTAAAATCAGAAGTCAGATGCGAAGAGATTGGAAAGATATATTTGATCCGTTATCAGTATATCGAGAAGCGTTTGCTTCAATCTGGCTAGTGAACGTAGGAGCTGTTTCCCACGCTGAGTCGTAACGTGATCTGGTGCGAATGCATGACCGAAAGCTTTCAGTTAAATAAGTGCACTTCAAACAATATGGTCAGCATCTAATGTCGAACACATAAAGAGCTATTGATTTTGGGGAATCATTTACAGCTGCAGATCGCTCCTCCCCCTAGTGAGGTGGTGATGACCCCTAAGATGTGGCCAGCCAGAAGTTTAAACCCAACGAGTTTGTGGTTGGTAAACACTCTTCTGGTAGCTTGCTATGTTTAGCAGCGTCTGGCCGTCTTTCCTTACACTAAGGGACCATAAAGCAAAACATAGTAATAAGGAAACAAAGTACAATGAAAATTTCGGTTCCTTGTGAAACTTCGTCGTTATTTTCCAGCCGTACTGGGAAAAAAAGAACGTGTGAGTGCATGTTGAAATACATGTACTTGCGTGAGGATACAAGGTGAGCGAAAAATGTAAATAAACTAATACGCTTGCGACAGCGTAGTAGCGATTATAAAAAAAATTGGTTTTTGTTTCTTGGTTTTTTTTCATAAAGAAATATATGTGTATGTGCTCATAAGTAAAAAAATGTTTTTTTGAATAAAATATATAAAAATGAGCATGTTAAAAAAAATTTTTCTATAATAAATAATGCGAAGGAAATTCGAGATAAAGTTTGTGTTCTACGCTCCATAGTCGTTTAAATGTTCTGGAAATCTTACACTTCTTCCAGAACGCGTTGTCTTAAGTTTATCTTTCGACGTTGACTAAGTATCAAGGTGTGTGTCGGCTGTCGTGTGGGGCACTACAAGTGTAGAAGCCGTATCGTTCGAATGTACTGAAGGAAAATCGACGTTGCTATGATTTTCTTCTAGGTACTCTAGTTTTAGGCGATCGATACTGATGCTATCGTTCGTGCCATTCTTATCGACTACAAAGTACTTAGGTTCACGTTGAAGAACTTTGGAGGGTCCTTCGTATGCTGATTCGAGAGGTCATCGATATGAGTCACGAGGAACGAAGACGTGTGTAGTATGTCGTAAGTCAGGTTGAATGAAAACATCAGCTGATTGCGGTTGATTGTGAGCAGGTTTAACTGAACGCATTGCGTTTGTAAGCCTGTTCGTATAGGAGTTTAAATCCATGTTCAATGAAGAAGCCGAAGGATCCACGAACGTGGAACGTTTTAGCTGATAGTGAAGCTTTAAGTTGTCGATGAAAACGTTCTACTGACCTGTTTGCTAGTGGTGATAGGCGGTCGTTCGGAAGCACGTGATTCCTAATAGTGTGGTCAGACAACGGAAAAGTCCGGATTCGAACTGGCGTCCGCAGTCTGTAGTGATGGTTGAAGGGCAGCCGAAATTTGTGCTGCTTCTGACTACCGAGTGGAACGATCTACGCATGTTAAGAGTAAGGGTTCTACCAAATCTAGATGAACATGGTCGAAACAAGCATCAGGGCTTTTGAAAGAGCCTAAGAGACATTTGTTGTGTCTAATGACCTTAGATTTCTGGCAGCTTGCACAGGAGCGTTCCCACTCTCTCGCGTCTTTATTCATACCAGGCCTGCGAAACCGTTCGGCTATAAGCTTGATGGATGCATGAACACCTGGATGAGAAAGATTGTGCAACGTATTGAAGACGTTGCGTCGATAATGTCTTCGTACGATTGGACAATTCTTACCTGTAGATGTGTCACATAGTAAGGTTTCCTTACCTGTTTCCATCTGTTTGATACGCAGTTTTAGAGGTGTCGAAGATAACTCGTGCTGAAGATCAGTGTCTTCTATTTGAAGCTGAGCGAGTTTAAGAAGGTTGATTCCTTGGAAACTGTTCAAGGAGCTTATACGAAACAAAGCGTCTGCGACTACATTGTTTGCTCCAGAAATGTGTTGTATATCTGAAGTAAATTGCGAAATGTAGTCCAGTTGTCGAGAATCTCTGGGTGAGTACTTGTCTGAAGATGAACTTAAAAAAAGGTAAGAGGTTTATGATCAGTAAAAAGCGTGAATTCTCTTCCCTCGATGGAATGTTGGAAATACCGTACAGCACAATACATAGCCAGGAGCTCCCTACCGAAAGTGCTGTACTTAGATTCAGCGTCTAGCAACCGTTTCGAGAAAAATACTAAAGGTTGCCAAGAGTGGTTAACCCATTTTTGTAAGACTCCTCCGATGGCTGAGTCGGATGCGTCTACGGCGATACTAATGGGCGCTTGATAGTCTTGATGCTCAATCAGTGTTGCCTTAGCGAAATGTTCTTTAAATGTGGAGAATGCTTTTCGAGCGGTGTCGTCTAGATTAATTGATTTTGCATTTCCACGAAGTTGGTCGGTTAAAGGTTTCATAAGAGACGCGCAATTTGGTATGAACCGTCTGTAGAAACGTACAAGACCGTTGAAAGTGCGCAACTGCCCAATCGTGGTCGGTTCTGGGTAATCCAGAATGGCCACCTTTTTGCTTCTAAGAGGTCGGATGCCTTGAGCATCAATAGTGTGTCGTAAGAAGTCTAGAGAGTTGGTTTCGATTTAGAATTTCTGAATATTGACAGTTATGCTATGCTTTCGGAGTCGTTCGAAAACAATGTCCAGATGCTGGAGATGTGATTCTCTGTCCGGACCTGCTATGAGACAGTCGTCAACATACGCATGTACCAAGTTGAGACCTCGGAAGACGTCGTCTATGAACCTTTGGAAGGTTTGAACGGCATTTCTTAGTCCGAAAGGCATTCGTAAGAATTCGTAGAGGCCGAAAGGAGTTATGATGGCGGTTTTCGGAATGTCGTCAGTTGCCATAGGTATTTGGTTGTAAGCTTTAATCAAGTCGATTTTCGAAAAAAAGTTGTACCTTTCAAGGTAGCTGTCAAATCGTGAATGTGGGGCAATGGGTAACGATTGGGAATGGTTTTAGCATTCAGACGCCGATAATCGCCAGTTGGACGCTAATTATTGCTGTCCTTTTTAGGGACGATGTGAAAGGGAGACGATCAAGGTCTATTTGACGGTCGAATTATTCCTAAGTCTATCATGTGGTCGAATTCGTTTTTAGCTAACCTAAGCTATTCGGGAGCCAGTCGGCGTGCTTTTTAAAATAGAGGTGGTCTTATAGTCGAGATGTGATGTGTAGCATTGCTGGTTATACAATCTTCTTAAGTACTCCATGTTTCCGAAGAAGTTTCCATAATGTTCTCCTATCTACATTATCAAACGCTTCCTCATAATTAATGAAGGTGATGTATAATGACGATTTCCATTCAATTGATCGTTCAACGATGATCTGTAATGTGATGATTTGGTCTGTGCACGACCTATCCTTACAGAATCCGATCCGTTGATCTCGAATTTGGGAGTCTA